CGGCATCGGCACTTAGGGTCGGCACTCGGACGGCACCTGGGATGGTCGGCAACCGCGGGCGGTCGTTGTGTTGCGGGTGGTCGGCTTGGTCCGAGTGGGCACCGCACGGAGGGTCGGCATTGCGAGGAGGGTCGGCACTCCGTGGGTCGGCATTGCGAGGAGGGTCGGTATCACGTGGCGGTCGGTAATGCGGTGGGTCATCGCGCGTTGGTGGGTCGGCATCGCACGTACGGGTGCGTTGGGTCGGCACTTGTGGTAGGTCAGCATCGCACGTACGGGTGCGTTGGGTCGGCATTCGCGGCAGGTCGGCATCGCGGGTGGTAGGCGTGTCGGTCGGTCGGCGGTCTCACGTGGTGGTCGCACGGCGGGTTGGCGTCCCGTGTGGTAGGTGTCGCACGTCGGGGTGACATTGCGCGGAGGTCGGCATGAACATGGTTCGGTCGGCATAGGGAGGTCAATGCGTAAAGGTTATGGTCCCAGGTGTTGGGTCGGCATCGCGCGGGACGCCGCGCCAAGGGTCGGCATCGCGCGGGACGACAACGCGCGGACGGTTGGCACTCGGATGGTCGGCACTTGGGATGGTCGGCAACCGCGGGTGGTGTGCGTCGCAGGTGGTCGGCTGGGCGTGAGCAATCGTCACATGGAGGGTCGGCTTGGCGCGAGTGGTCGTCGCACAGCGGGTAAGCACTACGTAGGGTCGGCATACCCAAGTCGGCGTCGCGGGTGGTCGGTGTCGCGTATATTGCATGGGTGGTCAGCGGTAGGAGGTACCCGACATTCGTCATGGTCCTCGGGATTCTATAAGCGAGCTCGTTCAGTGTTAAAGCAATTTTGGGTAAGGTAATCGTGATGCTTGCTACGGCGCGTGTAACTGTTCATTCCTTACAACAAGCTTAGCTTGTCTAAGGAATGTGGGGGCTAGATGATGTGGTCCTTAGTAGCGGCTCATGAAGGACCGGTTGTGACCCGGGTTCTAGTAACACTCAACTGGGTAGTCCAATCTGGTAGGCGCAGTCCATGGTACCTTTAGGGTACATGGGTGGTAGGCGGATGTTCTGGTAGGCGAGGATTCGGGCAGGCAGAGGCTTTGGTAGGCGCGGCCTATAGTACATTTGGAGTACGTGGGTGGTCGGCGGAGGCTAGCTCAACGTGAGCTAGGCGGGACGCCTTGACACTTACGTAGCTGGACGCCCCATTGAGGGGACCGAAGCCCGGAGGATGTATCGTGCTCAAGTCATGAAGAGGTTCGTAACCTCAAGGACTCTAGAATTTTGACCTAATCTGAGGAGAAGACACATGGTATGATAAGAACTCTTCAACCTCTAAATGACTTCAACTATAAAAGAGGGCGCATGTTATTTCATTTACACAACACACACATACAAATTTTCTCGTTACTCTGCCGCTTTTTCTTCGGATCACCACTGACTTGAGCGTCGGAGTGTTCGCGCCGGGACCACCCCCGACGTGTTTTGCAGGTACCGGCGATCAAGGAGGCGTAACCCGGTTCGAAGAGGAGCGGTCCAGCGGTCCAGGTTTGTGTGGTATAACAATTATTATTATTATTATTACGTCTACATCTGCTATACGTTGGTCTTGACCCTCACTACACCGAAATACAAAAGTGCATATTTATTTGGGGGATTAAGGCAATGTTTAAGAGAGTGATATGTGATTATGAATTAGGACTGAGTATGGGACTCGAAGAATTTCGAATCGTTTTGAAAAATGAACCGAAATCACTCCAAACATAAAAATAACCGTTGACCTTTTGGCTTTCTCTAAACCGAATTGAACCGAAAAAATAATTGATACGGTTCTGGAGATTTCATAAATATTCACACCGAGAACCGAACTGTACCGTATTGAAATGAAGAACCGAAATTGAGAATTGAATTATAAAAGTAGATGAGTGATATTTCTATATTTTATGTCAACTTTGATCCTATATGATTTGAAAATTTTAAAAATGGAAATAAAATATAGATATAACAATAAGTTTCACTTCAATTTTATGCTTAGTAATATATGATCTACAATTGAACTTTTCTGGGTAAAAAAATATATATATTTAAAACGGTATGAAAGGTTAAAGAATTTCTTTTAAAATATTTAAACATTACTTAAATTTACTGATACTAGTCTTATTCTATCTTATAACTAACATGGCATGAAAGATTAAAAAAAATATTGTTTTAATAAAAAACTATATTATATTTGTTTGAATTTTGAATTTCCAATGATGTTGTAAAAATTTAGTCTTAATTGAAATTTAGTGTTACTTATACAATTGATTTAAAAATAAAATCTTTAGTGTGATAAAATTTTGGCGAATGTTGGATTAAAAAAAATGTAAAAATTAAAATACAACTAGGTGGACATTTAATAAATGTAAAAAAATAATTAAAAATCTCCGACTATCCGAGCCGAATCGAACTGAACTGGCCGTTGATAGTCTCGAGAATCGAACCGAACAGAAAATAAAAAATTCAAACCAACCCGAACCGTTTTTTTTATACAGTTCCGGAGATTGAATTTTAGTAATCTCCGAATTTCGATACGATTGACCCATGCTCACCCCTATATGAATCGTGCCAATTACTTTACTGGCTACAATGTGAACTAGTAGTTATAGTTTTTTTTTTCCAACGATAATAGAACTTAAATAACCAGACTCAAAAAATGTACATCCGGGCATTCAAATGAATGCTTACAAGCATATAAGAGATTATAATCTCCCCTTCAGAAGAACAAACCAAGAGAAAACTAGAAAAACAAAACTAAAAAAGCAACTAAACAACTGCAACCAAGTCTATGGAAGATAAAGAAAGCATAATATCAAGGACATCAGCAGCTAAAGTATTACAACATAGATCAAAAAGAGGCTGTCTTTTACTGAGTTTAGAGACAACCCCTATGTGGTGGATTTTGCAGCAAATATGGTTCCATCCTTGATCAAACTTCATCAGAGCCCACCTGATTGCTGCCAGCCATTTCCCTTCAGCACATCCATCAAACCACAAAGTTGTTTCCCATAACTGAGTTTCCTCATCTACTAGTAGTTATAGTTGAAAATTGAAATCCTTTCCCAATGTTGGCAATACTTATTTCAAATATCAATTGTACAATAGCCCTATGCTACAATTATACATAGATGCCAGAACATAACTGAATTTTTGAATTTCCATGCCATAAAATATGAATTGAATAGGAAAAATATATAGTTTATCATGAAAAAATACACTATAGGACTTGTTGGGTTAGCAATTGATGTCAAATTAACACGTTTTTTGAAGTTTTTATTTGATTAATATTTATTTTGGACTCATAGTTCCCCACGTTTGTATTATCTTTTTTTTTCGAACGATAAGAAATACTCATAGCATAAAAAAGAGTTTTACAAACCGAAGATCCCACGTACCCCTGGACCTCAGCTCACTCAGGTTCAACCCAAAATAAGTAGGCCTCCGAACACAAACCGAAACTAAACAAAACATGACTGAACTAGAGGCAAATGCACAAATTTGAGCCCTCTAGACACAATACAACCAACACCAACAAACCACACAACAAATACACAAGCATGAGAATCCCAAAGACCAAAACCAAACAACAAATGAGGCCACTGAACCCGGGGGACCTAACCTCAAACTCAAACTAAAAAAGGAACAAAAAGAACCACAAAAAACACTACAAAGCATTAAACTCGGACCATTTCCTCACAGCCTGTCTAACTACCACAGCTTCCGGCATCTTCACTTTTTGAAACACCCAAAGATTACGGAATTTCCAAATCCACCATAATATGTATGTGGACAATTGTATCCGGGCCTCAGAAATATCAAATTTGTTCAACTCCGCAATGTTCCGCCACCATGTTTTAAAACTTGAGAAAGTAGCTGTTGAGGAGTCCCAAGAATCAGGGGATAGCTTCCACACCAAAGCAGCTCTAGATCATGAGAACAAAGCATGAAAAATAGACTCAACACCACTGCCACACATCTGGCAGATGCTGTCAATATGTAGCTCCCTAGCTCCCACGTTTGCACTAACAGGTAGGCAATCTGTAAAACACCTCCATATGAAGTGTCTGAGCTTCCCCTTAACCTTTAAATTCCAACATCTCTGTCTAGCCTTCCTGTCAAAAAGAGCATTTGCACTAGAGCTAGGTAAAGACAGAGAAAGTACCTTCTTCATAATAGCAGCAGAGTATGCAGAGGCCACTGAGAATTTGCCTTTAAAATCAGCTTCCCACACCCATCTATCTCTTTCAGTAGGATTTAGGTTCTTGATTTGACGAATAGCTTTGCAAGAGTCAGGGGTGAAAAATTCTCTCAGCAGCTCAACATTCCAGCTCCAGCCATCATCAAAAAGCAACTCTTTAACCCAAGTTAGGGAGAATTCAGACACACTATTTATCAAAGAAGGCTTACCAGTGCTCAGACCAGGCACCCAAGGATGGGATAAGATATTAGTATTGAAACCATCTTTGATCTCTCTTTTGAAGCCACTCTTATGCAGATTTAGCACTGTCAACTAGGAGTTCCACAGCCAAGAGGCAGTACCACTTTTCTTAGCATCCAACACACAACCAGCAGGAAAATATATTTCCTTCAAAACTCTAGTCATCAGGGAGTTAGGCTTTGTCAAAAGTCTCCACAATTGCTTAAGGATAAGAGCTTCATTGAAGACCCTAACATATTTAAAGCCCAACCCACCAGCACTCTTAGGGACAGTAACTTTTTTCCATGCAACCCAGTGAATACACCTATTTTGTTCATTTCCCTTAGCCCACCAAAAAGCTGCACTAAGCTGAGTAATCTCCTTGCAAACACTAACAGGTAAGCAAAAACAAGAGCAAACAAAAATTGGCAAATCATTTATAACAGCTTTCAAAAGAACCTCTTTACGAGCTGTAGACAAGAACTTATTGCTCCAACCCCTCACTTTCAGCTTAACAGCATCCACCACAAACTGGAAAACTTCCTTCTTTTATCTACCCAGACCCATGGACAATCCCAAATATCTGGTAGAATTGCAGACTTCAGTCCCATTTAACACTTGACACACTGCAGCTTTCACCTCATCACAAGCATTTCTGCTGAAAAACACAGATGACTTCAAGAGGTTGACTTTCTGGCCTGTAAAATTTTGATAAGCTACAAGTACTCTCAATAGCATATTAGCATTCTGAATATCAACACCACAGAAAAGGAGAGCATCATCTGCAACAGTAAATGAGACAGAGTGGTTCCTCCTCTAGAAATTTTCAGCCCTTGCATCTCACCCAAAGCCACAACATTTGTGATCAGTCTAGAAAACACCTCAGATATAAGGATAAACAGATAAGGGGATATAGGATCTCCTTGTCTGATACTCCTAGATGGAGTCACAAAGCCAGTAACTTTGCCATTGATATTAAAAGAGAACCCTGCAGAAGAAATGCAAGCAAAGATCCACTGAACAAAAGAACTATGGAAACCCATCTGTAACATGGTCTTAACCACACAGTTCCACTCTAGTCTGTCATAAGCCTTCATCATGTCTAACTTCACTGCTATATAGCTCTGTGCCCCTGTTATGTGTCTATTTAAAATATGAATAACCTCATGTGCCACTACTACATTATCAAGGAGTTGCCTGTCTGGGATGAAAGCAGCTTGAGTCTCATGAATACAGAATTTAAGACACTCTTTCAATCTGGCAGCTAAGATCTTAGCCACAATTTTATAAGAGACACAACACAGGCTGATAGGTCTGAAATGGTTTAGAGACACAGTATTGTCACATTTTGGGATAAGAGTAATAACTTGTGGTTCCAGCTAGTCAGCATTCTTACAAAGTCAAAAAATTTCATCACAACAGCACATAAATCTTCTTTCAAGATAGGCCAATAATGTTGGTAAAAAGAGGAGTCATGCCATCATTACCTGGAGCCTTGTTTGGATTCATAGAGAATAAAGTTGCTTTGACTTCCTCTTCTTCAACAGGGGCAATCAAATTTGAGTTCGTTTCTGCTGTGATAGAATGAGGAATGAGAGGTAAGACTTCATCTTCTCCCTAGGATCCCTCAGATTCAAACATGCTTTTATAAAAGTTTATGATGGCCTTTTCAATTTCCTCAGGAGACTCTGCCACCATATCATGGTTATCCACTAGCCTGGTTATAGCATTCCTCTTCCTTCTGTATAGAGTCATAGCATGGAAAAACATTGTGTTCATGTAAACTTCTTTGAGCCACTGCAGCCTAGCCTTTTGGCTCCAATATTCCTCTTCCTTCAACTGAGATAGCTCAAGCTCCTTTTTAACAGCTTCCCATTCATCCCAGTTCACTTGGCCTCCCAGAGCTCTCATCTGTTCTAGTTTGATAGTAAGATCCTCACTTTGTGCATTCCCAGATTTTGCCAGCTAATTCCACCTAATGATAGCCATCCTTGTTCTTTTAATCTTTTCCTTTACTATTGTCATAGGGCAGCCCCTTACATCCTCATTACATGCCTTGCCCACTTCATCAGAGCATCCATCCATCTTAAGCCAGCGCTTATCAAAGACAAATCTCTTAAAAAACTTCCTCTGTTGGTTCCCAGAATCAAGTAACAGCATAAAATGGTCAGATGAAGTTCTATAAGTAGTAGAAACTTTGGCCCCTGAGTTAGCTGCAATCCAAGGAAAAGATCCAAAGATCCTATCCAATTTCTCCTCCACAAAACCCTCCTCTTGCCTATTATTACCCCAAGTAAAAGAATACCCCTCCATATTGATCTCCATCATCCCCATATCAGCAATAAATCTGTTAAAACCTTCACAGCTACCAGATGATCTCAGCCTACCCCTTCTTTTATCACTAGGGCTACTCAAATCATTCCAATCACCCCAAATACACCACTTTTCACCCCAACTGTCTTTACAATCCTCCAAATCCCTCCATTGCTCCTCTATGACTTGCCTATCAGTACTCCTATACACAAAAATCATCCATTCTGAGGCATGAGCATTCCCAAGTCTAAATTTGACTTGGATGCAGAAGGATATAACAATCATCTGAAGGACTTCAATATCCCTACTCCAACCCAGCATAAGCCCTCCACTCAAACCCATAGGATCAACAATGACTCTCCTCTCAGCAAACCACAACTTCTTACAGACTGTATCAACAAAGAACTTGGACTTCTTGGTTTCAGACAGAAAAACAAAACTTGGGAGGTGGGCCTTCATGGCATCCTTCAACTGAGAAACTGTACAGGGCCCTCCCGGACCTCTACAGTTCCACAAGATTGTCTTCATTTATCCATTTGGGGCCATTCAAGGCTGGCTACCCCCACCTACTCAATTTCATCAGAGTTCTTGAGACTGCATTGTTTCTTTGCTGTTGTTGTCAAGGATAACTCCTCTTCATGTTCATCTGCCTACCTCTGTCTCTTGCTGCTATCAGAAAGTATAGAAATATCCATAGCATTTTCAGTTCTTTTTAATCTGCCCACATTCTGACTCTTCATCTTCCACATAGCAGTATGTTGTTTCCCTTTTAAGCTTCTCTGAACCTTACTATGTTTGAAATTTGAAGACATCCTAGGGCTGTCAATTCCTCACCATGTTTCTCAGCATTTCCCCTATCATCCTCCTCATTATAAGAAATCTTTAATCTTTCAGGCAAAGAGATACTCTGATTATCCTCATCTTGTTCACCTGCCACCGAGCTAAAGACTGGAATTAAGGCCCTTTTAGGAATGAGAGAATCAATTTGCACCTCCTGCCCTTGTGGTAACTTAGAATTTGAAGGCTCCCCCAGATTTGAGAAGTCGCTCTGACTGTTAGACTTTGGAGATGGATTTGAAGTTGATGGTGAGCCCAAACCTCTTCCCAGATCAGAAGCTTTCATCCAGTCTCCAAACTATCCCTCTTTCACCTTTCCTTCTTCAATATGAGCCAGTCTAGACTTACAATCCCTCTCCAGATGACCCACCAGACCACAATAATAGCATAAACTAACAAGCTTTTCATACTGGAAGAGCACCTTGTATTGTTGAGCTCCCAGTTTAATAACAGTACACCTTGGCAAAGGCTCATTGACATCCTGAGACACCAGTAATCGAAGACAACTGCCCTTTGTCCCACCCTCTTTAACCACCACCACATTTCGGACTTCTTTGAAAAACCTCCCAATTTTCAAAACCGACACCAGTGCTAAGCCAATGAAGTGGTAATTTGTGCACTTGAACCCATAGAGAAACCTCCCTGAAGCCTGCATCACTCTCTGAAATATCTTCTGCTAGTCTTGGAGAACCAGATACTGGTTCTCAAAGACCCAATTGACCCCTGCCATAACCTTCTCTTTGTCTTCCTTGCAGCCAAAAATGAATTGGAAGAAATTTGGAGCCAATTCCTTCACTTCTATTTTTTGCGACGTCTGCCACACAAAGCTCATCGTTCTACGGATTCCGAATTTACTAGCTTTCCTGTCTCTTATTATTTTCCCCAGCAAACTTCAGCGGCACTCTTCAGCACTAATACGAACATCCCCATCATCCAATTCCACTCCACCACTCTCCTTAGAAGAGAGATTTATGTTTTGGAATCTATCCCCCAATTCCTCCGCCATAAACCCTAATCAACAACACTCCACACAAATCCCAGCAAAAACTCGATCGAGACTCCAAAGAAAACTACAATCCCAAAACAAATAAATCTACGCCTCGCATAAACAAACTCTTCTACAATAGAATCAATTCTCCATTGAGAGAATCGCACTCTCCATTGAGAGAACTTTTATCACTTTATGAGATGAGTACATTTATGCCAACAATTTAGTGTATTAAGTTAGTTAAATACATATTACCTTGAGTTATTATAATTTTTGTGATTATTATTATTATTATTATTATTATTATTATTATTATTATTATTATTATTATTATTATTATTATATTATTACTATTTTAATATATATTAAAAAAGTATATATATATATATATATATTTATTGGGTCGCGCTCCGGTGAGTATGATACCCAATGAAAGAAATAAGAATAAATTTTAGCCATTAGATCTTATCATTCAACGGTAAAGAAAACAAGTAGTATTTATACATTATTAAGAGTATCATGGACATTTACTCACACACCAACCATCCAACACATTAGTGGCCCCACCCCTAATTAACTCGTTCAAACCCCCTAGGCCTAGTTGACGACGAGAAGGTCGTCCCCTCTGGCGACGCCAATCGGAAAACTTTCCAGACACACGCCTTCTCGCCACCATCTTCGTCGTCCCTTTCCAGACAATGGCTGCCAACATGGATGTCCAAGGTACACTTGCCGGAAATCGTTGGATAAGCACTGTTCCGCGTACCTACTGTCCTCAGCCGTCGTCGCCCCACTACACACTCGCGCCGCCGTTGTCGTTGTGGCACTGTACCACGCCGCGTACTGTAGATGACCGCCGTTGCCATTGTTGGACGATCCAATCCCTTCAACACATCTCGACGATCGCCAAGATTGGGGTTCCGAACGGCATACAACGCTGCCCCAATCGATCGCAGAACGTCGGATTCATCGGAGGATTTGTTAAAGACGGGCTGAATTTTTGGAGTTGGGGCTTTAATGTCAAAATTAAATACATTACAGGGTATATTTGCAAATTTTGGAAGTTTCGTTAATTTACAATTTAGGTTATGAGACTAATATGTAATTTATAAAACATTAGTAAATGCACATTATTTCTAACCAAAATGTACATTAGAGAACTATTTTGTTGGGGAATACAAAATTATTTCTAAGTTGTAGTTTGCACATTTGTGCGTTTTGATCTATAAAATTCTCTGTCGTTTCGAAAAAAAAAAAACCCAACAAAACTAAAAAAAATATCACTCTATGAAAAATCATAATTCCCCATATTTATCTATTTTTACTGTTAATTTTTGGTTCGATTTCAGCTAAAATTTTTAAAATAACCAAAATATCAGAACCAACCGAATTATATACATTTGATTTCAGCTATAAGTTTTAAAATAAACAAAATATCCAAACCAACCGAATTATATAGAAAATAATATTGTATCTCATATATTGTGTATTTTTAGCCAAAATAGTATAAAAATTACAATAAAATATTAAATTACTACATATATTTTTTATAATACAAATAATAATGAATTTTTTATTATTTGGTTAAT